AGTGCCACGCTAGTAGTAACAGGTGCCTTACTAGTAGTAACAAGCTTGCCTTGAGGTTGTGACCACATAGGGAGCCCCATAAGCCGCCAACTCGTACCTGAGCGTCAAGTGCCCCATCAGCCCGCGGTGGCGCCACACCGTTGGAACCGCAGTACTTAAAGAGGCGGTAGAGCACTGAACCAACAGTTGGGGTCGCTGTTGGGGGGGGTGAGTTGGAACAAAACAACGATGTTGGAGATGAATAAGCAGCAAAAACCACATTGACAAACCACCGGAACTCAGGTGGCGGGAATGGTGGAACGTGGCCGCGCGTGGGGGACAGTCCTTTTGGGACCTTTTAGGACCTGGTCACCGAACCCATGGGCCATCATAGGCCGTGGCTTCACCGCCCATGAACACGAGTGGTGTCCTATGATTGTGTCCGACCAGGTCGCCAAGTCTTCCACCGTCTCCCATCATTCGACCCTCCACTTGGAGGTTTTGACCGTGCTTAAACCACAGGGGTTGGACCCCCAGAACTCTCGGCTCAGCGCAGGCAGAGCGGTCTTTTTTCGGCGACCTTCGGCGTGCGGGCCTTCGGTCTCCGGAGCCTCGGTCCGTTGCAGCGACCGGAGCGTCTGCAGTTGAAACCTGAGGCAATGAAGATGCCCCAAGATCCTTCAGCTTCTTACCATTCAGGCAAGGCTAACACGCCCAATTCTGTCAGTCATTGTTAGACTATTATCGTGGTGGCTCTCGGGCTCTCGCATGAGTCAATCAACGACAAAACGCGTCTTGAAACGAAGAAAGCGTCTAGCTATAGTCCAGTCCAGCCAGCGCCTGCGCACAATTGGACCCCACCCCAAACGAAATGTCGACCGACTCGGACGGAAGAAGAACGAAAGCGCAGTCGGAATGCCTGGGCCCACCGATGTCTGCACGAAGCGCATGTCGTTTTGGAATCCAAAACAAAGTCACGTATCTCCTGGACCACGACCACGTGCCTCCGGCAGGAAGGTGCTCATTTGTGCGATCTGACCTCAAAGGACAACATCTGAGGGTGAGAGGGTAGAAGCAATTAAACCCTTTATAAAACATTGCTCCTAAACAAATTTTCAAGGTAGTAGACCAGGAAGGCACCTGATCCTCAATAATAAATCTGTTTTTGGGTCCCCAATTTTGGAAAGTTTTTTTTTCCACTGGAAAAATGCGCATGGAATTGAATCTCCCTTTGCTTAGCTCCTGGGGCCAATGGTTATGATTCATTAGCTGATATAGCTTTCTCTAGGTTTCTTCAAAACTGACAGCTGACCAAAACCACCAATTCCCCAATTAAACCCTCTATAAAACATTGCTCCTAAACAAATGTTCAAGGTAGTAGACCAGGAAGGCACCTGATCCTCAATAATAAATTTGTTTTTGGGTCCTCAATTGTGAAAAGTTTTTTTCCACTGGAAAAAATTGCTCATGGAATCTTCCTTTACTTAGGAAGCCATGGAAGCTGAGGAGCTGAGGAAGAAGCTGAAAGCTTGGGGCTTCTCTTGAGCTGAAGATCTGAGGCTGCAAAGCAAAAGGATTACTGAGAACAAGAGAACAATTACAAAGCACCTGAGAAAGGAAGCTGAATACAATCTATGAAAGGAAAATGAATACTACAATCAAGATTTGTTTTGGTGATAGTTTATTATAGAGGGTCCCCTGTTTGTTTGAGGGGGGGGGCCCTTTACTAATCAGGATCACACATTATTATATTATAGAACTGATGCCAGAACATTGTGTCAGTGCACAGGCCGGAAGAAATGTCAAACACGAGTTAAAAGAACACACACTAGTTGATCCCCACTGCTCGTGATGCCATTTTGGGTGAAGCTGCTTGGACGAAACCGGGCAGCTGAGCTGAGTTTGGTCATTGCAAGGCACTACTGCAAAAGAATCGACAGGAAATTGGACATGTCGTGCTTGTGCTTGCTTCTTAAGTGGTTCAGAGATAGGAAGCGCGAGGCGTTCATGTAGTGCCCGAGTTTTGCTTGTTTCATTTGCATGGCACTGCGAATGAAAGACAGTGAACACATGTGATCTTGTGATCTTTGAAAACAAAGTGAAGAAGAGTTTCCAGGAGTTTCCATGTGCCACACAGACACCCCGCGGCTTCCGAGGGAAAACCAGTGGTCAGAACCTTGGGATCGCTGCGTTCTTCCACCGGAATCGACTTCGTGGTGACCAGGCGCACCGGTCGACCGGTCGGCCGGCGTGAACTGCGTGGGACTCGCGAGTCGAGGTTTGGAAGATGTGTCCAACGGTGCATGTGCATACAATGCCCGTGTGTCGGTGGGATTCAACTCGTTTTTGTTGCTGTTTACACTCATCTTCGTGACAGAAACGTCAGCTTTCTTCGTGGTCAAAGGGGAGTGACTTCGATACATGGCTTGAGAAAGTTTTGTCAATCAGCTGAAGGCGATGATTGAAGATGAATATCATAAAAAGCATGGCTGTGGAAAGCTTGAATTGTTGTGATCTTCATTCTGGACGTTCTTGAAGGAAGGCGATGAACAAGGAGAAAGATCTGCCGGCGACTCGCGGCTTGCAATTTGTTGATGCAAAGGGCAGGGCGTGCAAATGCTTTGCAGTCACTTTTGGGTCGGTGGGGATTATAGAGTCATTGGGTTTGATGTACCGGTTTCCGCACACCCATGTGGGCAGCCTACCGAGCGCCTCCCAATGTGGGCAGCCAACAATCGGTGTCCCGTGGGAAGACATGGGTATCCTCAAGAGGACCTTTGGGTGCTTTATGACTCATGTTTAGACTATTGTTTTTGGATGTTTTAGAATTATCATGAATTAATATACTGAATCACCACTAGAATCACCTCTCCAAGATTCTCCAAGTAAAATTAACGATACCACTTGAAAAACCATCAAGACCATTCAAGACCTATCCGACCATCCAAAGACCTTTCCAAACGGGTCGGCTTTTTGGCCACACGCCCCTCGCCCCACTCAACCCGCGCCCGCCACACCGCCCGGGCCAAGGGACTCAGCAGCTGCGACCAGTCGACTCCCGGCGAGACCTCCGCAGGTCCCGCGATGAGCTCCGAGACCTCTGTGAGATCGTCAGAGGCTTCAGCAGTGTGACTACCTGGCCCCCCAGGTAGAAGGATGTGGCCTTTTGTGTCTCGGGTTCAAACAAAACCCAGAACCGGAAGTGGAGAGTGTTCTTAGTTCATGTGTCTGTCTTTTTGACAAACCTTCGAAGCCTTTACCAAAATTGACAAAGAAGGGGGTGAAGTCCACTTCCATGCGATGCTTTCGAACCCGAGTGTACACCGACAACCATAGCTTCGAAGAGGAATTCACTCGATCAACAAGAATTGACGAGACGCAGGAGGACAGGTGTGACTACGTGGGAAGAATGTGTACTGATTTGACATGTCGCACCACCAAGCATGCAGGGACGGTCCCACCGTTTCTTTCGATTCTTTTCTGCCCAAAACGAGCAGGATGTTCTCGTGACCAAGGTGCAGCAGGTGATTGCATGCTATGATGTTCTGTGGGCACTATGTTCCAAGGTACTAGGTCCTTTCGAAGAAAACATTGGCAACAGCAGAAACACGGTGCGACATGCATGTCGAAGCTTCCTCCCATTGCTCAATCCACAGCTCAGCAGCTTTCTTTGTACGCCCCGGTCCTGCTTGGTGGTTTCAACTCACACGACTCGTGGGATCAAGTAAAGATTGAACACAAACACTCACACCTGTGGGTCATGGCACCAGGAGGCTGACCGGTTCACCTACCGGGTGTCGGTCCGGTCGTTCGCTACATGGTGGACAGAGCTCCAGGTTTTGATGCATCCCCATGTCTGAAACCGCCACCTTTCAGCCCCAGCTAACTACGGCAACCCGCCTTTCAGCCCCTGGAGCATCTCAGCGCTCAGCGCCATCGCAGGCGCCAGCTGCCCGCGCCGCCCGCCGTGCCGGCCGAGGGGGACGTGGCCGGGCCCCTCATGAGGCGGTGGCACCTGGAAAGAGAAACACACCGTGTCTTAAAATGGCAAAAGGTGTGTCTCATCATGCAGTATATCTAAGCATCACAATAACTAGATTGAACACAATTGAACATTCTAAGAGTAGTTTAATTATAGTTGGTTGCACATGGTCATTTTTTTGAAGGCTCCAATTCCACAAGCCGGCGACCGAGAATCTCTCACAGGTGGTTCTCATCTATATACCAATATATACCCATACAATGATTACTTCTGACTGCGCAGAGGGAAAACGGATGTGTATAATTTGTGCTCGCACATGTCTGGTGGAAAGAGACTCAGTAATTGTGTTTTTTTTTTCCAACGGTGTTCTTCTTCCAACGATTTCGTGCCAAACGATTGCCGAGCCGTGTCACAAGCTCGCGAGGTCGGTGTCTGTCTTTCAAGGTCCATGGCCCATGGTGTGCTGCTTTGGAAGATTGCGAATACACAAATGCAAATGCTAGGTGTATACACGAGTCTGAGCCCGATTTATGAGGATTGCATGCTAGTTGGATGGGTCTCCCACACATGTCAGTGTAAACTTGGCATTGACAGTTTCCATCATGTGGCCAAAGTATAATAATAGTATAGTATAGCATGGAATAGCACGTCGCACGTTTGAAGACAGGACT